ATGGCCCCATGCTGTTCTGCAGCTCCCATCTCAGCCCCCTGCAACGCGAGTTGAACATGTCCGTCAGCCTGCGGAGCACTGCAACTCACGCGCTGCCCGTAGATGCGCACGTCGGCAATGACCTTTTGGAGGTATCCTTCTTTCTGCCTGGCGTTCTCGCGGTCTCTCCCACGCGTGTCCTGTTGAGTGCAGGCAAGCTTCAGCTGGTGCTGGTCGCTGGCCATGTGTATTGTGGCCTCCATGGGCTGGCGATGCTCCAGTACCTCCTGCTTCAAATGCATGTTTCTGTCCTCTTCGTCGCCCAACCTCTGATTGAATGGGTTGTTGTCGTCGTGGTCATTCACCCTGCCTGCTGCCGCTTTAGCTTCGACGCTGGCGACGTGGCCCTCGGCATCCAAGGTCATGTTGTAATACGAATGCCTTGTGTGCTGCGAATCCTCCTGCGTCTCGAAGGTGTCTTTCCATGTTGTCCCGAATGTCGCTGCCGTCGATGAGGTTCTTCCGCGTTCTTCCGCGCGCCCCGGGGCTCTCCCTGTAGTTGGTTGTCGTTTGTTGCCAGACGCCGGTGTCCCATATCAGCTGGGGGTCTCCTCATGGCTTCCATCTCCTCCACTGCCCAGTTGGGCTTACTCGCGGTGATGGTCTGGATGTCCTCGTGGCGTGCTGCCATCTTTTCTGTGGCATGCATTGAGCTCTGCATATGCTTATTTAGCTCGTTGTTGCAGTTCTCTGCCATTGTCGCCTCAAGATGCTGGTTCTTCATGTCGGCATGCAGCCTCCTCTGCTGCGCGGCGGCGTCTTTTGAGGTTGTTGATTTCGTCGCTGGCTGCGGTCTTGTGTTTCTCGATGTCGTTGGCCATCCGCTGGTTTACCGCCGTCGAAATCCTGAGCGTGGTGCCAGGGCCCCGCCCGTCTGTGGCTTCGCCTGCCGTTGTCTGACTTCATGGTGCCTGTGATGATAGGCAATATCCTTGGCGGTCTGTTCCTTCGTGCGTGGTCCGCTTCGTCGTCTGCAGCTTCTGTGCGCTGTCGATCATCTCTGGCGTTGCTGCTGTCGCGTTGGAGGGCGGTGAGCTCCTCGATGTTGTTCTCGATCTCTTTCATGTAAATCGTGTGATTTGTTGCTGGCGGATCCTGGGATGCTCGTAGTAGTCCTCCATGGTTCTGTTGGCGTCGTCGATCCCCCCCGCTTGCTGGGCCAAAGGGATGCCGTTGAGGACTATCGGTTTGGTGAAAGCGATCCGTGTGACGGCGTCGACAATAAGTGAACCTGCTGCGCTGTTATTGACGACGGCAGCTGCCACCATTCGCTCCGCAGCGCGTTTGACCTTCTTCCTTTCGCCCCTCAACTTTGTGGTCGTTGGGAGGTAGCTCCCAGATGTTCCTCATGGGCAAGACCTTGGAAATTGTCTTGGTGATGTGCTCGTGGTAGTTGTTGTTGTAAGTATGGCCGTCGTCCTTCTTCTTGGGCGTCTTTTCCTTTCGGGGTGGGGTCTTGTCCTCTCCTTTGTTGTTCTTGCCCTTGCCCTCCTGGCCGTTCTGGTACTAGTAAATGCCTTTCCCATTGAAACTCTGGCTGCAGGACTTGTCTGGGTGGTTGTCGGCCCACTGGTCGATCCACTTGTGGTTCTTCCAACGCTTGAGTCCTGCGCCGATGGTTGATGCAGTGGGCCTCGGTGTTGTGGCTCTGGATCGTGGGCGGCTCGATGCTGATCTCCACGGTGGCCAAGCTGATCCCGATCCACTCGCAGTTGCTCTCCTGAGTGTCGCCATGGTTGGAAGTTGAGGTTGGTGTCGTGGTGGTTGTTGCGCGCTGTGGTGTGATTGCAATCATTATCGTGCTTTGTGAAGTCGAAGTAGTACACAGGCGTCAGCGCGATGCCGGCGTAGCCACCTGTGCCAAGCGGGGTTGCGGGACCTCCGGTCCCGTGAAGTCGTAGCCGTGGATGGGGCCGACGTGGATGTCGGCGTGGCCCCGCGCAGTTGTGCGAAAGAGAAGGTGTCCAGGTAGGTGTTCTGGATATCGCGGGCCTGATGGGCCTGTGGGGGCCGCGCTGGCCGCCGCCTCGGCCCCCCTGCGGGGAAAATGGGGGCGGGATCGGGCGATCGCGGCTCTCCCCGTCCTCCTCCTTCTCTTTCTCCTTCTCCTCTTCCTCCCCCTCCTCCTCTTCCTTTCCTCCTCTTTCTCCTTTTCCTCCTCCTCCTCCTCCTCCTCCTCCCTCCCTCCTCCTCCTCCTCCTCCTCCTCCTCCTACTCCTCCTCCTCCTCCTTCTCCTCCTCGTCCTCCACCTCCTCCTCCTCCTCCTCCTCCTCCTCCTCCTCCTCCTCCTCCTCCTCCTCCTCCTCCTCCTCCTCCTCCAGGTTCTGGCTCAGACCTGCGGGCCACAGGGGGCCCGTTTGCCTGAGCCCCCAGCCTTCTGCCCGAGGGGCGGAGGGCGTCACGGAGAGCGGAGGGCGCCGCCATAGGCCGCCCTCGCCCGCCTGGCACAGGCGGCTGCGGAGGCGGCGCGCCAGTGCGCGCAGCCTCCTGGCGCTCGAGCGCGCGAGGCGCGTCTTGCGGCACCACCACGGAGACGGTCATCTCGTGGCCATGGGTGCTGGCGACAGTGGCAAGGGCGGCAGGAGCTCCAGGCCGTCGTCCCGCGCGCCATCGAGACCTCGGTCGGAAGGAGGCGAGTTCTGGCGGTGCTCGCAGGCCGACTGTCGTTGCGCCAAGAACCAGGCTCATTGGCGCTGGTGCAAGCATTGCGGCAAGGAGCGCAACGGGGGCGAGTCCAAGCCGCCGTGGGCGCGTGATACGCCTCGTGGGGGTGCTGGCAGGCCTGCTGGTGCTGCTGGCTCGTCCGTCCCGGACCTCGGAGTGGACGCCATGCAGGCGCTCGTGGTGTTCGCTGAGCAGAAGGGGGACAAGCAGATGGCCGAGAAGTACCGAGAAGCCATCCGCATCAAGTCTCAGCCTGAGGCGCCCACGGCCCTGTCAAAGGACGAGTTGCGCTCGATGGTCACCATGGCTGAAAGATCTGGTGACAAAGCGACGGCGGCAAAGTACAAACAGTTGTTGGAGCAGGCTGACAAGGGCTCGGAGGACAAGAAGCCCGCGCAGCTCAGGGCCAACAAGGCACATGCTCGGGTGCGCAAGACGAAGGGAAAGCTCGAGGCCGAGAACGCGGTGCTGGCGAACCTGCTGGAACAGGTGGAGACGCAGAAGGCTCTGGTCTCCGAGCTGGTGTCGGAGCTGGATTCGGCCGAGAGCGAGTACAGGGCCGCTGTGGCAGAAGTGGCCGCGGGGGTCAGCGGTCAGGCCCCTGCGAAAGTGGAACCTATCAAGCTCTCGCTGGCCAAGCTCATGGACGGCGAGCTGGACGATATCGACCTGGAGGACGACGGGCTCTTCGGCTACACAGAGTTCGAGGAGCTCGGCTCGGCGGCCTTTGAGGAGGCAAAGTCCAGGAAGAAGCAGATGTTGGAGTCTTTCAAGCAGATGGCGGGCGCTTTCTTCGGAGAGGTGCGCCAGAAGGGCCAGGCGCTGCAGGCCGAGCACAAGGTCATGCAGGAGCGGCTCGCGGCCAAGAAGCGGCGCACTGCAGAGGGAGACGCTGCTGACAGCGACGGGGACGGCATCACGGGGGCGCAGGCTCCTGAGGCGCCTCCTGAACAGCCTGAAGTCGCTGAGCCTGCAGGGCCTGCACGCGCTGAGGGTGACTCGGAGAAGCTCAAGGCCACCGCTCGCGCAGCCGTGGCAGCGGCGACCGAGGTGGCGAGCGGCGGCAAGGCAGAGGCTACCAAGCATTGTGGGTAGCGACTCGAGAAGTATACTGAGACACGGCGGCAGTTCGTCCAGAGCTACCAGGGGATGTCGTGTACGTTTCACCTACTGCGATGTTGCGAAGACTGGCCTCCAGTCTGGATCCACGACGCGTTCGGCTTCTGTGGCGGGGGCCAGACGTGGGTACTCTTCTTGCTCGGCTCCGACGCCGCGCACTTCTGGGGTCCCCCCTCCGCCCCTGGCAGCCATACCTGTGGCCAGAGGTCCCCCAAAGGGGGTTAATGGGGGGGGAGCGACCCGCGCCGAGGGCGCGCCTGCGGGGGGCTCGCCTATGGGGGGCGCCACGTTCCCCTGCTCCCAGTCGGTCGGGGACGTTAAAGCTCTTGGCGTGAGCCATGCGCCTTCTGGGCAGGGCGAGGGCGTTCCCCCAGCGGTGACACCCGCAGGTAGTATTGGGTCGACATCTGTGCCGACTTGTGCGCGGGTACATCAGGCAGGCGATCTTCAAGGCTCGAGACGGGGAGCTAAGAGAGGTCGTTCGGTTACTCGGTCGAGTGCTGCGCCTGGGTGTTCGTTCACTTCGAGTTCGGCCACGACGTGTGGGACCTCGGGGTCGTCTTCGGCGGCTTCGGTAGCGCCTCCGTCGCTGGCATGCGGTTCGTCTACTGAGGAGCCTGCTGGAGGCAGGCTCCCCCCTCTGCTTCAGTGTGAGTTCAGTGCTGCCTGTGCTGCTAGTCACCCAGGGGTCCCCAGTCTCATCGGAGCCGCTAGCTCTTTCGACTTTCTGCAGGCCCCCCCAGAGCCGCCCTGCCCCTCTGGCTTCGGTCTCATCGTGGAAAGCTGTAATGCCACTTGCTGGAACTCGTTCAAAGAGTGGCTCAGTAACACGACGGCGCACATTATTTGTCTGCAAGAGCACCACATCGTCAAGCCCACTGCATTGAGGGAGGCAACGTCGTGGTGCAGCCGTCATGGATGGAAGGCGATACTTACCCCTGCCATTGCTGGTCAAGGTGAGGGCTCGTCTGGGGGAGTCGGCATCCTGGCGCGGGAGTTCCTGGGGCTGCATGAGCCTCTGTGGGGCTCCTCGCTTTCGGCTGGCCGTCTCATCAACGCCTTGGTTCACCTTCCTGGGGATGTGCCGTTTTTGGTCCTGTCGGCGTACTTGCACGATAGTGAAGGTTTGTCTAGCAGGAACCTCGACATTCTCAGTACTGCGGGGGCTACTGTTAAGATGTCGGGGCACCAGGCCATTCTTGGAGGTGACTGGAATATGTCTCCTGAAGTCCTTCTGAAGTCGGGTTTCCCTGAGAAGTTGGAGGGGTCTTTGATCAAGCCTGCTGGCTCTGGGACCTGCAGATCGTTGGGAGGTCTGAACTTCCTGGATTATTTTGTGTGCACTGGGGGCATTGCGAAGGGTATTCAGTCGACGAGCATAGTGCAGGTGGCGCAGCTGACACCGCACAAGCCCGTCCATCTGCAGCTTTTTCCTCGGCTTGCTCAGCTGTGCGCGCTCACGTTCCGTAAGCCACCGCCCATTCCCAGAGAGAGGCCGATTGGGGTTGGCCGCTCACCGCCAGACTGGGGTGTGGTGCAGGACGCTGCTGAGGGGTGTTTAGGTACGGCGCTCTCGGGCCAGATCTCGGAGGCTCAGGAGATGCTTGATTGGGTCTACGGGCGTTGGGCGGATTTGGCCGAGAGGGAGCTTTGCGACTTGGCCCAGATCACGCTGCCCTACTATGGTGCCCGCAGTAAGTCACCGCAGCTGCATTGGGTTCCTATCATCAAGGACAAGGCCCCTCCTTTCAGGCACCCCAAGCTGTTCGCGGGCAAGTGGGTTTCTCATAGGTTCCAGGATCTGATCATCGAGTATAGGGACGGAGCTCTGGAGGCCTCGAAGACCAGGGAGTCCCTGTTGAAGCCCCCGTCCTTCGTGCTTATCGTCGGTTGTGTTGACTGGGACCAGTATCTCAGCACGATTCAGTCCTTAGTTCGTGCCGTCCCCGACGGGAAGATCACCAGCGGGGAGCGCCAGCAGTGGGGCAAGTCCGAGTGGCTGGAGGCTGCTCAAGATGCTCTGGTTTTAGTGCAGCAGTATGTGACCAAGCTTCAAGGGGAAGCTCGACACGACGGCGAGATGGGGTGGAAAAACTGGCTGCTCACAAAAATCAAAGAGGGGGGAAAGAATGCCCACTTGGCCTCCAAGGAGGCCCCTGGTTGGAAAGCCACCACGACCTTATCGGCTGGGGGTTTAGTGCTTTCGGACCCTTTGAGTTTGCTCAAGAGTGAGGCCTCTGGCTGGGCCGAGCTGTGGCACGCGGGCTCTGAGGCGACCGACAGTTTGTTTGAAGGGGTGTGTCAGCCCCTCCCCATGGTTTCGATCGACCAGATTAGGTCGACTGCCGCTGCTTTCAAGGCCACCACGGCACAGGCGGTGGATGGGTTTCACATGAGGCACTACTCGTGGCTGTCGGACTCGGCGCTGGCGGTGGTGAGCCTCTTGTTTGCGATCTTCGAATCGCTCTCCAGCCTGCCGCGCCAGCTCCAGATTATTCAGGTGGTGCTTCTATCTAAAGCGTCGGGGGGATATCGGCCCATTGGGTTGTTTGTTTCCCTTTTTAGGCTTTGGGGGAAATGCAGAAGGGAGCTGGCGGCGGATTGGGAAGCGAGAAATGCTAGGATATTCTTCTCTGGCAGTTCTTTCGCTTGCGCGGCCGACACGGTGTGGCGGCAAGCGGCCCGAGCCGAGCTCAGCACTAGGAAAGGGGAAGTCTCGGCCTTGATGTTGTGGGATATGACTAAGTTTTATGAAAACTTTTCTCACGAAAGGCTTGTGGCTGAAGCTCGGAAGTTCGGTTTCCCCACGGCCATCACCCAGTTGTGCGTGTCTGCCTACAGGTACGGGAGGTTTGTGAGCATGGCCTCAGCGGTCGCTGGGCCCTTTTTCGCGCTTCGTGGAGTCGTGGCAGGATGCTCGATGGCTACTTCCCTGGTTCGGGTTTATCTTCTGGGACCTCTGAGCAATCTGAACCTTCCTCGGGGAGTTTTCCTGGCTCAGTTTATCGACGACTCGGGTCTGGACTCCACGGGTTCTGCTCAGGACGTGTCTTGGGGTATTAAAGAAGGTTCTCGGCAGTTGGAGCAGGCTCTGGTCCACGAGTGCGGCTGCTCCATTTCTTTGTCCAAGGCGGGCCAAGGCAACCTAGTTTGCTCGGACGGGGCCGTCGCCAGGGAGCTGCAGATGTTCCTTGGCGACCGCACGGGCCCGTTGGCCGACAGCATTGTGGACTTAGGGATAGATTTCACTGCTGGCAGGTCTCGCAGGAAGGCCTACATCCGAAGGGCCCTCCGCGAGTCCAAGTTCAAGATCCGCATGGCCAACTTGAAGGCCAAGACTCGGAAGGTGAGGATTATGAAAAAACAGATCACGTCCCACGCCAAGAAAATCTGGGTCTCGGGTCCGCTCCCTGGGGTGCTGTATGGTTCGGAAGTCCACGGGATCTCGGACGGGGAGCTCCACCGAATTCGGCAGCAGGCGGGCTCCGTTATGGGGCCAAGCTGTAAAGGTAGATCGCTCACAAGCCTTCTCATCTTAGAAGACGAGCCTACGTGGCTCGCGGCGGTGGCGCCCCTTGTCAGGTACTCTAAGGAGCTGTGGTGTGCCCACTCAGGTGCATACCGCTGGTGTTTCAGTTTCACGGAGCTCCGCGAGGCGTGGAGAATTTTCTGCGCCAAGCCCCCGCCAGCGACGTGGAGGGATGTCACGGGGCCTTTCTCCGCGATGTACATGTGCCTTAAGAGGATCCAGTGGAAGATGACTGATTGGGTCTCCTTGGAAAACGATTTCGGGGAGAAGTTAGTTTTGACGGAGGTTAGTCCTGGGCTCCTTAAGTTATTGTTGCGTCAAGCTGTCCTTCGGAGTCTGGAGCGAGTTGCTGCCCAAAAATCGGTCCTGGAGGTCCCTCGCCTGTGCTACGATGTGCTCAAGCGGTCCCTGCACTCTAGCAAGGTTTCTCCATCTGGCAAGGCGGCGATCCGTGTGATCGGCTGCGACGCCAGTTGGACCCGAGTTCGTGCGCGTTGCCTCGGTTACCAGCTGGAGTCGGTGGAGTGTCCTCTGTGCGGTCAAGGGCCAGACACGCTGCTCCACAGATTTTGGCGTTGCTCGGCATGTGCCGAAGAGCGTGCAGAGATAGTATCAGACGAGTGCCAGAAGCTAGTTGACGACATGGACAGCGAAAACCCCCAAGACCTACTCCTACTTACCCGCGGTATCTTTCCACACCCAGGGGACTATTGGCCGAGGCCAGACAAGGAGTGTAAGACCGTGTGGCAATGGGAGGAGGATGTCACGGAGGAGGACGGCATGGTGAGGGGGGAACTGTTCTTGGACGGGAGCTGCACCAGGTGTATCGTGCCAGAGCTTAACAGGGCGGCCTGGGGTCTTGCGATTTTCGATCGGGCTTTCAGATTCCTAGGCAGAGTTTTCGGCACGGTTTATGCGGGGCTCCCCCAAACCTCGCAAGCTGGGGAGTTTGCCGCTTTTGGCTGTTCTAGCCAAGTCGTGGAAGGTGACTGTGATATGTACACGGACTGTGCCAACGTTCATGTACAGGCCAACCGACCCCTGGGTGAGCAGCTACACTACCAGAGGCCCTATGCGGGGCTTTTGTTGCACAGTCAGAGAGTGTCACACCACATAAAATCTGTGAAGAAAGTCAAGGCCCACCTCTCTCTCGAAGAAGAGGGTGTGCCTGAGGGAGAGATGCAGCTTCGGAGAGGGAATTTCCATGCCGATGCGGCCGCGAAAGCTGGGGTGCGTCTGCATGACGAGCCCACGGCCGAGCAGTCCCAGGCCCTCGAAGAGACGCTGCTCGTGGCCAAGACTGTGTGCAGACTGGCCGCGGCTCTCCTGTTTAAGTGGCCGAGGCTAGATTTGAAAGATGTGGTGTTTCAAGCCCCTGTGGGGCGGGCCCGAGAAGGGCACCCTGTCCGCCCTTTGCACGTTTGGGAATTTGTGGCAGGCCGCTGGCGATGCAATATCTGTCTCAAGGCCTCTCGGTCTCAGCTCCGCCCCCCGCCCAGAGGATGCTCGGGCAAACGCGGGGACTGGGATTTTGGGGAGATGGAGAGGAACGGCCATTTCGTGGTCGGCCTGCCGTGCGACAACGGTGAAGTGTTGCACATTTGCACCCACTGCGCCTCTTTTGTCGGTCCTGGGTCTCTAAAGAAGTCCAACCTCTTTGGGAGGTGTGACCGCAAGATGTCGGCACATAGGAAGTGTCTTTGGCGCAGGTTGCTTCGAGGTCTTTACCCCAGCTACAGTTCGAGTCTGAGGGTCGACCCCGAAGGTATTCAAGACCTCACCGTGTGAGGCGGATTTAAATTGCGATTTAAATCACTACAGTCCAGTCTCGCTGGTGGCAGTCTTGATGTGGATGTTGAAAAAAAAAAATCCTCCTCCTCCTCCTCCTCCTCCTCCTCCCCCTCCTCCCCTCAATCCCCTGATCACGATGCCCACCGCCCCTCCCCCTTCACGTCTTTCTCCGACTCCTCCTCCACCACCTCCTCTTTGGGCTACGGCCAGATGGTCAAGCCAAGAGTGGCACAAAGAAATTGAATAACCAACGGGCGAAGGCGTAGAGTAACTAAACCGGCAGCCAGAGCAACAGGAGGTGTAGGATCAAACCCATGGCAACCCTCTGGGCGTAGGTGGTTTTAACAAACTCTTGTTTGTTCTACTCACGGTATCTCCTTCCGCTACTCGGGAACCGGGTTTATCACTGCTCCCTGTTAATATACACCCCCTCCCCCAGGGGACCAACAGCAAACCGGGTTCAATGCCGACCCAATGATCACACCCACCCCAACAATCCCTGCCCAAAACAATACAACACACACACACTCTGCCTCCAAATTCCGAGCTGACGCAACCAACCCGATGCGGCCCCGACCCCCCATCCCATTCAAAAGCATTAGTACACTTTGGGGCAAAGTCTTGAGTCATGTTCGCGAGGCCCGCGAGCAGGTTGCGTTGTTGTTGTTGCTGTTGCTGTTGCTGTTGTTGTTGTTGCTGTTGTTGTTGTTGTGTTGTTGTTGTTGTTGTTGTTGAACTCTAATTACTGAAGAATAATTATTGTTGATCCCCCCACTCCGGCGGACATTGTATTTTTTCAATTGAAGTGCCCCTTCCGGGGCTCGCACCCTGTTTTTTATCAGGGAAAGTCGTGGGCATCAAACTGCGTTGTTGGCCCCCCGGACAACAACAACAACGGCTCCCGCCTGATACTTCCTCCAAATTTACTCAGGACCCCGCCCCCGCCTGGGACTTCCTCGCAGTTTACTCAGACGGAGGCGCTCCCGCCTGAGACTTCCTCGCAAATTACTCCGGACCCCCGCCCCCGCCTGGGACTTCCTCGCAGTGTACTCAGGCGGAGGCGCTCCCGCCTGAGACTTCCTTGCAAATTACTCCGGGAGCGGCGCTCCCGCCTGGGACCTCCCTCACAACTGAGCATCAAACTGTGTTGTTGGCCCCCCGGACTACAACAACAACGGCTCCCGCCTGATACTTCCTCCACATTTACTCAGGACCCCCGCCCCCGCCTGGGACTTCCTCGCAGTTTACTCAGGCGGAGGCGCTCCCGCCTGAGACTTCCTTGCACATTACTCCGGGAGCGGCGCTCCCGCCTGGGACCTCCCTCACAACTGAGCCCTGCTGAACTCTCAATACTGAAGAATAATTCTTCTTGATCCCCCCCGGCGGACACAGTATTTTTCCCCGACCTGGCGGAGGGGTTTCCGTTGTGTGTCCCCCTGGGGGGGTCTGGGGGGGGGGACCCCCCGGGACATGGCCCCGGCCACGGGCGGAACGCCGGCGGAAGTCCGGCAGGACACGGCATCATTTCTGCAGACGCGCTTCCGGGAGGCACGGACGGCCCCAAGATGGTCCACGAGATGGTTCACGAAGGCCTCGAGTTGCCGAAAGATCGGCCTAAGACGCTCAAGATGGCGTCCCGACGGCCCAGGGAGCCCCTAAGACGCCCCGAAAGACCCCCAAGAGCTTTCCCAGGAGAGTCGGAAACGTCAAAAACCATAAGTTTTCCTTACGTGTTCGAAGGTTTTTGAAGTTTTTGCATTTTCGGCTTCTCGGCGCTCCAAGACGGCCCAAGAGGCCCCAACGATCGCCCCAAGACGGCCTCAGCAGCCCTCAAGACAGCGCCCAGACGGACCAAGACGCCCACAAGACGGCCCAAGAGGCCTCCAAGACCCCCTCAGAAAGCTCAACGAACGCCCCAAAAGAGCCCCCAGAGGGGAGGCGGGGACCGACATTTCGAGCTCCCCGCCCAAAGATCTCCCCAGGAGACCTCTCTCCTCCTCGTCCCTCCTCCGAACTCCCTCCTCCCTCCCTTCCTCCTGTTTCTCCTCTCTCCTTCCTCGTCCCTCCTCCAAACTCCCTCCTCCCTCCCTTCCTCCCCCCTCTCTCTTTCTCTCCCTCTCTCTCTCTCTCTCCCTCTAAATCGTCCTCCCCCCTCCGCGTCCCGTCCCTCCTAGCATCTTCCCTCCTCCCTCGTCCCTCCCTGCTCCCTTCCCTCCTCCCTCGTCCCTCCGCCCGCCCTTCCAAAGAGAAATAATCCCCCTAAAGGGGGTACGTTCGAATACTAAGAGGGCGGGTATCGAGGGTGTGCCTCGTGATTCATTCAGGATTCACCCTTTAGTCACCCGCCCGCCAGGTTTCGCCCGCCCGATCCGCCTGTTACAGCCCGCCCGTTCGCTCTCTTGGCATCTCGCCCGCCCGCTTTAAGCCACCGCCCGCCCGACCCGCCAGCGAGGGTCCGCCGCCCGACCCGTCCGTTGGCGTCCGCCCGCCCCGCCAGCCCGACCCGCCCCTCAGAGTCCGCCGCTCGACCCGTCTGTCTGGTTCGTCCGTTTGTTTACCTCCTCTTTTGCCCCCCTCCCCTCCTGCTAACCTCTTTCGTCCTCCATCCATCCTCCCCCCCTTGCCCCTTCCCTCCTCCCTCCCTCCCCCCACTCTTTTCCTCCTCGCTCTCCCTTCCTCCTTCCCCCTGCTCTTCCTGTTTTAGGGGCTGCGCCAACTACACGTGGCGAGTAAAAAAGATATACCCCCAAAGGGGTATGACCGAAGACGAAGAGGGTGGGTATCGAGGGTTTGGGATTTACATATTGAGTGACGCGCGCGCATATAAGAGCGATCAGCCTTAAGATGATTGTTGTTGTTGTTGTTGTTGTGTTTGGCACGGACGGGGGGAGTGTGAGCACATTGCCTGCTGTCCGCAGGGCCACCATCCGTCTCGAAGAACAATACAAAATGCACCTCGCGGCTTCACGTGGATCATGCACGGCCACCCGCGATCACTGTCGAGTGGTTTTTGGCAGGGACGGCGAGGGTGGTTGCGTTTGGTCTGCTGTGCGCAGGCCCACCAGACACCATGATGGGCAATGGCTTTCGACAAGGATGGTGGGGGCCGACATGTTTCCCGATGTGTGCTGTCACGTGCGCAGGCGCACCTGACACACTCTGCACGTACCCCACAGGTGGTCTACCTGGCGCATCTGCAGGCGTGCCTTGCACGCTCGGGCCCCAGGGGTGCCTGGCGAGCGTGGCGCGCCTGGCACGCGTCGCGCACCTCGCCCCAGCTTCGCGCACATGGGGACGGTTGTTGCTCCTAGCAGCTGTCCATCCAGACACGGGCTCTGAACATGCTGAGGCTCGGGTGTCACTTGCGTGTTGGGAGGGCGGGTGGGAGTGAGCTAGACGGCTTGCTATCAAGGAGGGTGCCTGTGCCCTCCCCCATCAGCCTTCCCTGGACCTGGGAGGGAGGGGGGGACGGGGTAGTGAGAGCGCCCAAGATGGCAC